ATCATTCCTAATTAATTCTGGTGCCCTGCACAACCCCAGACTATTTGTAATCCTACAGGGAACATCTTTATTGATCTGGGGGATGCTGCGGCAGACTTTTGATGCTTATCTCAGCATAAAAATAGGCTCTTGTGATGAGCAGTGATTTAATTACATGACAATCACCGTTAACAATGCATGGCGAATACCAAAAATATGCAGAGCAAGAGTGGCAGTGATAAATGCAAGTGGATGGCATTGACTTTCAGTAAAGTCGTCTATTGTCGGGGATGGCGGGAGACGGCACATATATTTTTTCCCTTCTTGTAGGGCAGTGACTTGCTGTGCAGTTTGGAAGACTCTCTCAAGGGGTCTAACGACACACAGGAGATGGGGGAGAAATAATGGATCATGATCAAAGCAACGTTTAGCACATAAAGCTGAGGAACTTACAATGCAGTTGTTTTGCATGTGGGAAGATGCACTATTTCCACTGTGCATCTCCAATAAGAAATGAAGAGGAGAAATATTTGCTCTACTTTGGGAGAGGGTTCCTTACGTGGCACAGGGATAAGAAAGTTCAGCCAAATCCCACCTGCACCATACAGAAGGTGGACTTGACAGTAGCAACAATAGATTGCTCATGGGAATTTTTTTTTAAGCCTGGGTTGAGTTCTCTTTAGTGTATTTTTAAGCAATCCATTCAAAGGGCCAGATCTTGAGCTGGTGCAAATGGGCTACGCCATTGTAACTGAAAAGCCCATTTCCATTTATACCAGCAGAAGGTCTGGTCCAAAAGATTTAAGAGCTACCTTGACCTGAATGTAACAACATCTACTTCCCAATTGTCAGAAGAGGTTTGGAGTTGGGACCCTTTGCTATGAAATACCAAGCCATTTACTCTGAGCTGCAGGAGAATCTAGATGGTTGCATATTTTGGAGCTGAGGATCCCAAGTCTGATGACTTGTATCACTTCTATGAGACTCCACCACCTGGATGGTAAGAGTCACCCACACCTGAACAGGTCTGACATTCTATTCGGTCGGAGGCCATGGTGATACCTGTGCAAGCAAGTATGTTACCAGAGGCTGGTCTCTCCTTCTACCCCGGCACTCACCCAAATGTGTGGAGGCTGACACTGGGAAATTCATTCTCACCTACTGGAAAAGCTAGCACTAGTATTTGGGACAGGAAAAGGAATCTCTATATTAGTGGTCCCCAACACACCCAGGGCCACTTTTCTATTTCCATCAGACTCCATATTATTTGAATATATTCATCCGTTATCTTTTCCCCCCACTCCTCTATACACTGGGGGCTGCTCCATTCGAGCAGATGGTGATTGCAGGAGGTAGGGATAACCTGTACGTGCCTCCTGTTCCCCACTCATTGGATTCCCCAATGCAAGGCTAGGGTCTAGTTAGGTGGCTTGAGGGCTGCTTTGCACTAGCCCAAGAAAGCTGAGGGTCAGAACCTTGGTTCCAATTAAGTCAGCATATGTTCTACCTCTCTCCTCGCCTCCTCCAATTAAAGGCAGGTATCATCTAGTTCAGTCCAACACACTTGGGGGGTTGGGAGATCTCCAGCCCATTGGTCACATGCACCCTCAGAATTTCAACTCACAACTTTAGTTTCTACTACATAAATTATGCTGCGTTAAGCATCATGACCAGCTACCACAGTTCCTCGTCGCCCTGGAATAGACGTTTCAGGCTTATATATATTAAAGTAGCACAAATCCATTTTTCAAAGCTTTCTAAATCCTCCTTAAACACGGCATTTTTAAAATCAAAACATGGGGGGGCGGGGGAGAAATAGCCGATAAAAAAGTGATGTAAGCCCATAATGGTGCACCTGAAATGACCCAAACAAAATGAGTAATGATTATGTATATGTTAAATAAAACTTGTCTTTTTCTCACATTATATTCCCTTGGTACTATAAGATTTTGGTTGTTGCAGGGTCCCCTTCCCCGCAATGAATCACCTGATAGAACCTCAACCCAGAAATGATGGCGTTTCAACTGGCTCAACTTTTCCGAATTTGAGAACGATTAAAACACTCCATCTGCAACACGCCAGATTAACAATCGTTTGTAGTATCTCAGCCTCCCTCTGAGTTGCTAACTTTATGGATTCTAAAGAGCAGATATTCTTATCGTGCCGCTGTGTGATTTGAAGGGGTGGATGCACCAGGGCACTAACACATGCAGCTTTACAGATAAAATGCAAGTACAATATTGAATCAGAAGAGGATTCACTTCCAACACACACCACAGTCTCTAAAGCCAAAACTAACATTTCTCAGACTATCAACTTAGTTTAAAGGGCTGAGAATCTAAAGATTGGAGTTTGGTTAAGAGGCATTTTATTAATCTTATTTGAAAAAGAACTTAATAACCCCCCCTCCCCAAACTCATCTCTAGTGCAATGCTCTTGATGTTAGGGGAAGTCAATGTCAGTTCTGCATGTTGGGGTGCTTGAAGGATCAGGTTCTCAAAAAAAAAAGAAAAGTGAATGGCGTAGAACACTGGCAATAGTAAATCTTTCTCCTCCAGACTGTTCAGACTGGTAGCGACAGATTGGCTCAGGTTGGTAGTGGGCTGTTACCATCTGTTGGTTAGTGGCCTATATAAAGTGAGTTAGTGGATTTCAGTCTATTTCCTAATGGACAGGTGCCTATATTGAATGAACTGCCATCACAATTGCTACTCACCTTAATCCCAGTTGAAGAGGTCACCGATTATAATCTAGATCAGGGGTTCTCAAACTTCATTACACCGCAACCCCCTTCTGATAACCAATATTACTTCATGACCCCAGAAGGGTGGGGGGGGGGGCGGGGAGGGCTGAAGCCTGAGCCTGCCTCAGCCCTGCCACCCTGGGAAGAGGGGCCAAAGCCAAAGTGCTTCAGCCTCAGTCAGTCGGGCTCAGGCTTTGGCTTCGGCCATTGGCAATGGGGCTTGGGCTTTGGCCCCGGGTCCCAGAAAGTTTAACGCCAGCCTTGGTGACCCTATTAACATGGGCTTGTGACCCACTTTGGGGTCCTGACCTACAGTTTGAGAACTGCTGATCTAGGAACCTGAACTGCCAATTGTTCTGTAAGGGTGGTCAGAGTTGAAGAACATTGATGAAGAAGCGAGTAGGAAACTTCAATGTTATTAAAGTTCTATATCCTAAAAACAGTCTTGTCAAGTACTATTCAAGTCCAGCACTATCAAGCAAGCATAAAAAACTCTTTCAAAGAAAATAAAAAATGGTATTAAGGGAAGGGCATGAAGAATCACAGGACAATTAAGACAATTAGTTACTTTTCCTCAGAGATTCATTTGAGCTCTCTGAGCTATTTTAACAGGAGGTAGAATACACACTGCACAAGTGTTTTTAAAATGTGTCAAAGGCTAAAGATAAAATATTTCATACGCAGCAAGAAAATGGAAGTTACTAAAAGTCTGCATTACCTGAATTACAAAACAGCCGCCATTTAAGGGGACACCATTAACTTAAAATTAGCAATAAAATTTAAACTTATCGTTGCTATTGATTAATAAAACTGAAAAGTTCCCATAATTTTACCTTCTATTTCTTTGGTTTGTGAGAGCACCAATCCCCCAGACACCAATCAACATGAATCCAGCTGTAGGATCAGAGCCATCTCTTTTGTGGCTAAAAAGACTCTTATGAACATCATCATCCTCTTTTAAAGGACTGAACTCCCCGCCCCGCAAAAAACAGGACATACTATTTAAAGGATTTTCTATCCGAAAAATGCAATTTTTAAATCAATCAGTTGAAAAAATAATGAATTGGATGGTGTCCCTTTAAAGATGCAAAATATGATGGATTAAAAAATACAGTTTCTAACAGATAACTTTGTATGTACCGAGTTTTAAAAAAAAAACAGAAAAAACCCTCCCCCCAAAAAGCAAACCAAAACCCCAGCCACTCCTTACATTTCCCTCTACTTCCACTGTACCCACATTTTATTGAAATAAATAAGTAGTGGCATAGTGGTAGGAACTGACATCACTTAAGGTTAAAATAAAAGCATGGCAAATACCTGTCCCTCAACCCCCGCCACCCCCCAAAAAAAGGAAATCTGTCAATATTTGTTTGACATTTTAAATGGATATGCTGTATTCAGGCTTAACAACCTTTGGTTGCCTGATTTCCAGGATATGCATTTTAGTGACAGAACTTAACTGATATGACTGTTCAAGGAAAAAATTTTAGTTATGTGCATTCACAAAAAACAACTTTTCAGAAGCAGCTTGTTTGGCCAAATGTATGGAGAAATACTCGATTGGTGGGTACATCTCAGATCCGATATTTGCACAACTGTCCATGCAGTGTATATGTACATGCGTGCACAGCTAACTTATCTCTAGTCCGTACAGGGACCCATGGTCAGGTTTGTGTTTCGGAATGCATTATGATAGTTTGAGAGTTTGGGATGTAAACGCTATTATATGTGCATTGACATTTCCATTATATAAATACCTTACTTAAAATAACACCTGCACCAATTGTGACGTGAGTGTGGTTGTAAAACAAAAACACACCCCACCATTCTGGACCAAGTGAAGAGTACTGTGAAGACAGAGATTGGTCATTTGAATGTGGAGCAATCAATCACCCAAGGTCAGGTCCTGTATGTGAGGACTGGAGAACTCCTTAAGTCAAGGAGGGAGTTGGGAACCCCTCCAAACCTGTGGATGGGCTGAGATCCATAGAGAAATCCTGTAGATAACAGGATACTTGTGTTTGGATTTGTACAGATGGCCACTTCCTCCACGCCAGTCCCTACACCACTCTTTGTTCCCCATAGCAGCATGGCTTCCATTCCAAATCCCAATTCTCTGCTGTTATTGTTATACTGCACTTCCTTTCTGTCAAGACATGGACTTTCAATATAATGTGCTTACTTTGTATGGTCAGATGTTAAGTACTGTACCACAGTAAATGTTCTACAATGAATAGGAAATATATATTCTGATTAGATTAATTAAAAGCAAAACAACTTAAGATCAAATGTTTATTGTATTTCAAAATATTTATCATAACAAACAGCTCTTTGCAACATATATAGGTACTGGAACATAGCAAAACTCTTATGTTTGTGTGTCTCCAGCATAATAATCTAATACAAACTAGTCTGAAATTTAGCATACCTACATTTAAAAAAAATAGACATTACCCTGTCTCCTGAACAGCAATCAGTTCATGTGGAAAATTCTATAGAAAAAAATACTATTAAAATATTGGTCCCACCTTCCATTCAAATAAGGTATTTTTGCTCCTTTTGAATGTTTTCATTCAAATAAATGAACAGATCTCACATGTGTTTAAAAATGTCTGACTTTGGTCCTTACAAAATTACAGACGACAGTATGATAAACTAGATGATAGTTTAGAGTGAGACAATGAGGCATTGTTTACACAGAAGATTGAGTAACTGGTTTAACAAAAGGGGTCGGTGCATATCTACTGTTTGTACAAATAGGAGATTTACTGGAGCTTTTATAATTTCTACAAGGCTCTTTCCAACCGGCTTCATTAACTTGAAGTAAATCAAATCATGCAGAGATCTGACTCAGCCAGAAAGACATACCGGGAAAGATACAAAATGAAAAAGAACAGACACAAGATAAGCTTTAGAATCTTTGGCAGTTTTCATAAACATTTTCTTTGAAGATTTTTTAACTGCAATCCAAATGTGTGTGCACATGTACATAAGGATACACATAAACATATATATGCATATACATACATACATACATTATATATGTATGCATATACATAGGTATGTATACTATACACAGCACACATTTCCTTTTTAAATGAGGGCTAATTTATTTTCTAGTCTTTCACATATACCTACAACATGAGATCCCAGTGAAATACCTTGTTTATAAAATTAAATCTTGTATGAAAAAATTTCCTCTCCTTCAATGAAGGCATTGTAAACATTGTTAAAACAACTTTGAAAAATAAACTATTAGAAAATTACTGAATCTGAGTAATAATCCATTCACTATCACAATCCCATTTCTTTTGCAGGGGGCAGTGCTGGCTACCATGATATAACTCTGTTCAAGACAGGTCTGCCAATAAAGGTAGGCCTATATTTACAGCCATTGATTAATCAGATTTATTTCTAAATAATGCATTTTCAAGTAATCTGTATCCTGTGGTTCTCTGGTTTCTTTATTCTGTGAACCACTTCAGGGCAGGTCAGTGGATGGGGGGCTGAGGGGTGTCACAAGACTTAGGTTCTAGTCAAGTCAACATCGCCTCAAGTGATTTAGCAGCATAAACTTTTGCCTCCCTGTGCCTCAGTTTTCCCCATCTGTGAAATGGGAAACAATGGTTACCCAACTTCATAATGCATTGAGTTCTGTGGACAAGAAATGTTATATAAGGACTTAGATAATTGGGAGAATTAAAATTTTCTCATGGACTCACCTCTACTATCAAAACACCAGTTCTTCATTGCTTGGACCTCTTACCATTTCATTCTGAAAGGCACCAGGAAAGACTCCATAGAACATTGGTGGTCAATGGACCCAAGTTTAAGAACTATTACAGCAAAGCAACATATTTACAACACCGCTTTGGGCGTAGTGCTCTCCTCTTGCCCAAGATGTTGCATCTTTAAGGCTACAAAGTATTTTTCTTCGAGAGTTGTAGTGTTGACATCTCCAGATTTAGACAAAAGCAACAGTTATGCTGAAAAATCTGGTGAGATGGAATTATAAATAGCAAGTCAGAAATACAGTCTTTTCAGGTTCGCAAATTCTCTTAACCCTTTCACAATGGCGGATCCTGGTGTGTCCATTGCCAGCAATGGACCTCATGTCAGGCAATTCTGGCATCAAGGAGTTAACAGCAGTTTTTAAAAACACAAGTGCTGGATGAAATTGAGATACTGTGGGAGCTTCTAGCTGTTTCTGGCAATTATGATAACAACTTTTCAAAATATACACTGCTTGAACAGAAGCAGGGTATCAAAGACTTGTTAATTCAGAGTTTAAACCCTTCTATGCACTGTGATTTAACTGAGGAAAGAATAGGCCTCGTATCTTAATGCAAATCTGTTGGATATGTTAAAAATTAGTTCAGAGCATCTCCTCACATCAGCTTAGCTGATCTACTACACTAGGCAGAATTATATCTTGCTACATACAAACAAGGAGAGCTGCAACATTCGGTCTTACCCTAATAATCCAAGTAAAAAAATGGAACATGCACTTGTGCTCTTCTCCACCCACTAATTCGTCCCTGCTCTGGTTGGATGAGGCCTCTACGCCAAAAAGAAAGGCAGCCCAGGATAGGTGCACATCAGAAAATGTATGGAACCATCCTGGGCCCATGGCAGGTATTAAAGTGTTGATCTGAACCAAAAAAAGGGTGTGGGGAGAAAAAACTGTATGTATGTATGTGTATATGGAGGAGGATGTTGCATTCCAAAATCTGTCTGCATCCTAGAGAGTACTCCGTTTCTTCCTGAGGGGACTGGAGCTGCTGTATGGTTTCAATTCAGCACGCTGCACCTGTAAAAACAAATAGACATGACGTTTGCAGTTAGGTAACTCTAGCTCACTACAGTGTGTGTTAATGGCTCCCCAAGGACAAACCAAGGGAAACTAAGGAAGGTTCAAAAGTAATGAATCATTTTCTAAACACAGGAACATGGGGGATTAATTGCAGGAAGGATTTGAGAAGTCATGCATCATTTCTTGAAACCAAAATATTAAAAGCAGATTTTTCTAATGAGATGCACGGGGCACTACCTGATCTCAGCAATGCCAGACAGACTGCTTTTTTTTTTTTGCTTGCATTAACCTATAAGTTTAATAAGACTCTCTTGGGAATGATAAAGCAAGTGGATCCCAATATTCAGTAAGGTCAGAGTAGTCTCAAAACTGTACAGAGACATGCTTTATCATTTTAAAGAGGAAAAATATTTTCCCGAACAGAAACGAAACAAAGATTTTCCCCTACTTCCCCACAGCAATTTCAATTGCGATATAACAGTTAAAACATCTGTGATAAATCCAAATGTGGTGTAATTCCCAATCGCAAACTGTCTGCTGCATAACTGAAAAGCGGCCCCATTGAAATCATGAGAATCTTACAAAGAGTACGCCACTTTTCCATGCTTCTGTGCCTTTTGTCCAGGCCATGTGCTGCTGGCATACAGTAACAGGCTACGATACTGGGGGTATTTTTTAACTCATAGTACTAGCAAAATGAAACAAAGGTGCTTTAGCAACATTTTAAGTGGAACAGGCAGAGATGGCTTTGCTATTGCCTGGGAATGGTTTTAATTAGATTCTTGTATCAGATGCCAAATGTATTCACTATTTTTTTTTTTTTAGCATTTATGGCAAAACTCCCCTAGGATGGTATATCCCTTCCTATGTGTTTTACCAATGCTTCCTCATAGAAAATAGCATCACCTTCCTTAGAGAGCTCAGTGAAGCTCCCCGAGGATGACGGAAACCAGTCAGGAAAATGTTATAAATGTAAATCTTAAATAAAACACAAATAGAAAAGCAGCTTATCTTTACATATAAACATTAAAGGACAAGTGCAAACCATCTCTGCAAATCCAGTGCACTCTGGAACAGCAACAACAAAAATACAAATACACTTAAGCTTAATGTCTCTGTGATTATTTCTGTTTAGCTCCCCCCCCTCCCGCCCCAATCTATAGAGATATTTTTCTCTAGCTATTGCACTACCATAAACCAATCTGGTGATCTCTTGAAACAAATGTTGTGGGAAACCTTTTCCAACTGTGTTTCTACCAGCTGCATTGACACCGCATGGAGACAATCATTTTCCAATCTCCAACAGAGTAAAATCACTATGGGCTAGATTGTGATCCCCTTATTTGCAGTGAGCAGCACCGCACTCTGCAAGTACTACTGCTTGAGTAAAAAGTTATTTCGGTGTGATTGGGGGTGGGGGGGGAGCAGAATCAGGGCCCTTGGTTATAAGATTCTGGCTGATTATAAAGGATTGTTTCTTTTGTTTTATTTTGTGTGATTTGCCACCCAGTAAGACTATTTTCCTTCCACCGGGAGAAATAAATGGATCTCAACATTCTAAAAGACCCACTGTTCAGATAATTTGCAGCCAGCTGGACAAGATTATTGAATACAGTGCTTTAAAAAAAAAAAAAAAAAAAGACATGACTGAAGTGGGGGAAGGGGGAATCCTGGCTCGACTGAAAGTTATAATTCCATGCTGGTAAAAGATCAATCTTCTTGATCACGGTTATTTTATACAAATCTCAAGTCTCTGCGCCATAAAAGGTGAGCATAGCATTGTCCAAAGAAACCCTGCATTCAAGGTGGGTGGGGGAAGAAGAAATTAGGATGGCAACTGGCCCAAAGCAGACCACAGCAAGCACAAAGTCATGGAATAATCCCCCCACTCCTGTATGAGGGGACGGGGAATGCAGTAAAACCCTTTGGATAGTTATCTCTGTCACTCAGAGAGATTGTATCCTCCCTCCTCCCCCGCCGTCCATACAAGTATCAGAGCAAAAAGGTGAACAAACCAATAGTTCATCACCATGCTGTGCAAGTTCAAGATCATTTTTAAGTTGCTCTCTTCAGGATAAATTTTTCTTCAATCATCTTATGCGTCCGACAAAGGTTTTCAGCTCCCCTCTCCCTCACTTTCCTTGCCCCCTTTATGGATTTTCCTGACACCTTATCTCTGTTATTCAAAATGCTTCGGCATGGTATTCCCCAAGCATAGTGCTGGGAACTCTGAGTCCTGCTTGATGCCCCCATTGGTGGTGGCCATTCATTACCTTTTGAACATCAGATGGTACCCTGGAGAGGAAATCTAGTAACTCATTATTGTCGATGGCATAGGGATTTCTAAACTTCTTAGTAAATTTATTTATGCCTGAAAAACAAAACAAAACAATACAAACCCAGTTTATTTATTTAGTTATTTTTAATTGCTCAGGCAAGTGGGGGGAAAAACAGAAATTCACAAGTAAAAATGAGTGTGAAAACAATGACTTGACTTCAAGTCATGCACGTGTTGCTGTCATGTGGAATCATTCACAAATGCCTCTTGGAAGGAAGGAAGGAAAGGGAATTATTATATAAAGACTCTGCTTTACTTGGGTGGTGAAAATCCCATTACCATACCAGCAGAGAGGCAGTGGCTGAAAAAGCAGAAACTGTGGAACCCATCATCTTTTGGGGGGGGGGGTGGAAGGTGGTAGTGGTGGGGAATACATGAACTAACAGCCCATTCTGCTTTGAAATATAGCATCATTAGACCGAATGTGGTCCTCTCCTGAAGCTTGAGAGAAAATATAGGAGGTTGGAGGGTGAAGAGAGAAATGGGACAGAGGAGGGTTTTTTTTTCTTGTTTAGTTTGAAAAAGAAAGCGACTGAGGATATCTACCCCGCCCCCAGCATGTTTCATAGCTTTTTATCCTTTCACTGCAGAGCCAGATTTGACACATTGATTGTACTTTGATGCTGTGGGAAACTGTGAAAACTTATTAGGATTTTATTTTTTGATCTGACTAAGGTTGATAACTTGATTTACTAAGCGTTGCAATGTCATTCCTAGTTTGCTCTGCAGAGATAGCCAAACTGTGCTTAGCTGGAGACGGTCCCAGCAGTGGAATCAGGGCTCACCAGGCGTGCTGGGCAGATCACAATTTTCTTATCCCATAAAAAATTTTAGATATCAAAAAATTTTCCTGGCCTGAATCAGGCCAAAAAGTTAAAACTCTCAAAAGTGCCTGTGAACCAAATATTTAAAATAAGTTTAATTTAGGTGGATCAAAGAGTTTCATTTTGAGAATTCCAAAATGTTTTGTTTCAATTTTGACCATTTTTAATTACATATTTATTTTTCCTTGAATTACCTTAAATTTCAAAACAAAAAGTTGTTTCTAATCAGAAAATCAGAACTTTGTTTAAAAAACGTTAAAAAAACGATTATAAAAATTTTGAGTTTAAAAATTACCAAAAAAGATCCTTTTCCATGAACAGTTTAAGTCTTGCAGAAATGGCATTTTCTGACCAGCTCTACTGATGTGGGTAGAAATGGAAGGTGTGAATCCTAAATCAGAGGGAGAGCACCATACAACTTTGATCCAGCCTGTTCTCTGAGCAACGACATGAACAAGGTCCAGCATTGGGAGTCAGGAGACCTGGGCTCTATTCCCAGCTCTGACAGTGTCAATTTAGGCAAGCCACTCAACTTCTCTTTGACTCAGTTTCCCCATTTGGAAACAAGAATTTGTCATGTGGCTTATCCTCCTGTGTAGTAAGCTTTTTAGATGGAAGGCTGAAATGTGCCGTAGGAGAGTTAAGTCTTATTAGGAAAAGGAGAGCAAATAATAATGCATCTTGAAAATTAAGATTTTGGTATCCTATAAGCAAAGAAAGAGGTCACAAGCACCTAATCTAATCACAACCCAAGCTAAAATTTCACAGTAGTTTCTATGCACGTGTGTTTCAAATGCAATGACTTGCACTCCCTCCCTCACTGCTCTCTCTCTCAAATGTACCTGCTTCACATATGAATGCAGCTTTTAAGCTATATTCTTGTAGCAAAATGCCAACACAATTTTCTGTGTACCTGATTTTTAAAAACAGAAAATATCATAAGGTCCTTTGAGGCCTTGCCACAGGGTAGTTGGTTAACATGTATCATATTTGAAGGCCCTGTCAGTCTAGATGATGTTGACTGGATGTATAGCTTTGGTGTACTCTGGATGTCTTCCACATTGAGGCAGAAACATATTGTTCCTGAACTTTTAGTTCACGGGAATCTCCTCTCTTTTCTTTTCATTCGCTCTTTCGTTGAGTTCAATAATTTATTTTGCTGTTTTTCTCCCAGCTCCAGCTTTTGAAAGTATCATCCACTTGTCCTCCTCATATCCAGCCCCTAATGTTAGACTGACATTAGCAGATGATTCATCACTGTAAAACTAATCAGGGCTGACCACTGTCCAGAAGCATACAGTTACATGATGTTGTGACATTGCAAAGCTGTTTGATGAGGCTACCCTGCCCTCTGGTTTTTGTTCTTTCACCCCTAACCAGATTTAGCATTGTAAATAACCAAGGAAATTGACGAAGGGCGATAAAAACATTCTGAGAAAAAAAATCCAACTTTCTCTTATTACAGACATACATTAAGGGCCTGATTTTCAGATTAGGAGCTCTATTAGTACAGGCATAAATCTGCATACAAAAATTCTATTCCCTGGTTGCAAAATGCACACAGAAGTCGCAGCCCCACTGAAAATCAGGTCTGTAAAGCGTGTACATCTGGATTTGCTATAATGGGCAGTGAGAGCAGGAAACTACACAAAACCCTGAACATCAGATCAAATATACCAGTAAAGGCGGGCATCTTCCATGGGAGCAGCAAAACACGATCACAATTTATTATTATTTTAAACACTGCATTGTGATTACACAAAAACCTTCAGAAATGTCCCTGACTTTACTGGATTTCGTCCAACTTCTCTGAAAGGACGCAAAGAGCTACAAGATTTGTTGAGAAGATCCAGCTGATATTTGGATACTTAATGGCTTTGAAAGGTTTAGATACTTCTTTCTCCCAGCCTAGTCAGATCCTTCTCCTTTACCTCTTTATTGACCCCCCCCCTTCCCATTCCTCCCTCAAAACTAAGCTCCCTCTTTCCAACTCACATCCCACTCCCGACAGCTGATGATATGCTGGCCTGGGTGATTTCACAAGGGCAAGTGATTTCCTAGGTCTTACACATACACTGTGAGGTCCTGGCCTGGGTGCTCCATTCCCCAGACTCGAAGCAGCCCCTAATACATCTCTCTCTCTCTCTCTCACACACACACACACACAACTTTTCCCCTGACCTTGGAACTCATAATAACTGAAGGGAAGCAGAGACTGCCCAACTTGCTGACTTTGGGTCTCAAATTTTGTGAGCCTACCAACAATTTCAGGTGTGGTTCAAAATGTGTACAGAAGTGTGGGCTGGTTCCTATTTTCCTCCAATCCAGTCACCCATTCCTAACTGTGAATCTACTGTTATGCGTTCTTATTATCACCTCCTACAGACTAACCAGCTACTGAGCCACCTGTTCACTTACCAAAATTATTTTCATACAACTGGATAACAACTCTGTGTCCATAGGAATGTCAACCATTTGCCTGTACATTTGCCCCCCCCCCCCTTGACATATATTTATCTCTCACCCTCCTTTGGAATGCAACTTACAGGGGCATGTTTCGTTACTTTAATTGACTAGAAAGAACCAAGTCAATCAAGTAATAGAAATGAACAGTATTTCACCCAAATCATTTTTGAAACCAGATCCAGAAAAATACCTCCTGGGTTATACAGTCCACCCTCTCAACTCCTGCTATTGCAGGGCTGCTGTCTACAGTACAATACATGTGTTAGTGCTTTGTCCAGCCAAGACTGAAATGTCTCCAGCAACAGGGCTTCTGTCACTTATCATGAGAGACTATACCACAGTCTTGGCACTGTCAGACAATTTTGAAACCTATTTTCACCTAGTAAAATTTAACCATGTACCTTCACACGATCCTGACCAATTCCTCCCCATCCATCTCCCACTCCAGAAAGGTGTTAAATGCCTCTAGCTATTTGCTGAGCACCCTCAACCCCCACAGAGTTCAGCGTCTTGCAGGATTGGCCCTTAGTGTTTAAACCTTTCAGACATGTCTAGTTAGTTCATAGATTCCAAAGCCAGAGGGGACTCTTGTGATCCCTCCAGGATGTGCCTCTCGCTTTCCCTTAATTTTCCAACCAGCTGTGTCGATCCACCAATGGGAGCTTGGGCATTAGGCTTTTAACAACCACTGTCATCTTATTCTGCTCAGTTGGAGTCTAGACAACCCAATAGTAAAGATGCTGGCAGCATTTTGTCTACACTAAGGCTCCCTTTATGGTAAACCATGAGAACACTTCAAGAAAAAGCTCAGAATAGGTAAATCCTTAGTCTACCAGCAGAAAGTCTGATCTTCAGTACAAATGTTCACTTCCACCAAGGCTTAGGGCGTGTTTATTATCCTCATAGTGCTTACCCCAAATATTTGATGCCCGTAACAGCAAGTTTAAAGATTTATTATTCCCACTTATAAATTAATATTGGATTCTTCCCATGCAAATGCAATATTATGAAGCACTTACCCCAGATTAAAACAATGTACCTCAATGGTATGAAATACAAAATAACTGTCACTGCTGTCATAACTAAGCAGGCCAGGACCGACAGGAAAGGCACTGTCCAGTTGAATGTGCTGTAAATAATAATAAGAAAACCTCTTCAGTGTTACTGATCTTAAATGCTGTCTATAACTTACAGCCCATTAAGAACTCAGGGACTCCTTCTGCAATATTCAATGCATATAAATAAACTGTAAAGTAAAGCACAGAGACTTTGGAAGACAAGATACGTAGATTTCTGCATCTGGGTGCTACAAAGGGAATAGTCTCTGGATTCTACATATCTCATTGCAGGTCTATCACTATTTTTATTTAGGGAACTGTCACAAGACAGCAGCAGTCCAAGCCTTTTCATGTCACCAACATGCCTCAGACTTGTTCTGGAGAAGCACAAACAAAGGTAAATGAGTGATTCAGTCACCATGCTTATTTAGTCTTTGGTATCTTCTGAGAATGACAACATTTTCAGGCATGATACTCTCAGGTGAGGAACAAGTCTCGATACTCTCCCTTAGGAATAAGTCTTAGAAGCTCAGTTCATTTCACTCAGGCCACCATGTAGCCCAGTTACTACTGACCTAGCCCTGTATGTCAGAGCTAGAGGTGAAATAACTGAAAGTTGCAATTTCTTGCCTCTTCACAGTTACCCTGTTGCCCTTGCACTATGCCTCTCTGATCTCCATCTACTTCCTGGCAGCGGCAGCTAAACACTAGGCAAACTGGAGTACAAGGCATTAGTTAAAGCATGAGTGGATTTACAGATCAGGGTGTCCTTGCATTACATGGATCACCTGCGGGTGAAGAGAGTCAAAAGTGGACCACTCAGAACAACATCAGGCTATAAAATAAGATGATCTTCATCTCACATACAAAATTTGTAGGAGGGGGAAAATATTTTTAACTTCCAGGGAGGTATTAAAATATTAAGGAAAGATAGGGTGAAAGGGCTACCACAATTATTACACAACTATGTAGCTTAACTTAAAAACAAAACACAAAACAGCTCAATACAGTTAAGCTCTTAAAAATCCTTCGGACTGCATAATCAGAGTGACAGAGCTCTGGCACAAACCAGACTGTCACTTTAAAAAAAAAAACTAAAAAAATAACTTTGGTAGCAATTTTTTAATGGTACATCATTTTTGAATTACAATGGAATTCCTTGGAAATTACATAGGGCATCCACATTAATACCAATGGGTTCTTTAAGATCATTGTTACCAAAATAAATACCAGAATTAACAGTGTTTAAGCACTCTGAGCCTTCCTGCCATGCAGCTGGACAGAACAGTACTCTGTTCATGGAGTGGAATACATCTCTTGGCCATTTCCACCACAGCTGGGATGGATGGAGTAGAACCACAACATATGGATTTGATATATTTTTAGCCCCGACCCAGCTCCTCATTTAAGTGTAGCTCTGCGACAATTACTTTGTGTTAAAGAGAAAAAAAGTGAGTGTCAGTTACACTCCACTATGGGTGTAATTATAAAATACAAACGTGTGTGTGTGTGTGGTGGAGGGGGGAAGGGGTTATTTAGAGACACCCCCCACCTCCGTGCTTCCTAGTGTGAGGCATAAGTCATAGGCCTTCTGTTGTGACAAATGATAAAGGACCTCCTTAGGATTCCTCATGGCAGCAGGAAGCCTAAACTGATACATAGACAAGCACTTCAAGGCACAGGATGGGGTGACAAGCAACAGATAACCCATATGTCCGGCCTTGGGAGGAATGATGGGAAGAAAGCTTCAGGCATTAATCCCCACCTAGTTCAAAGACAGAGGATGAGCCGGAGGAATACCCTCAACTGCACCTCTGTGACCACCTCCCTCCAGCAGCAGAGTCCCTGGACCCACAGGTCAGAGTCCCCCATTCCCTACCCTCATCCATAGAGGTAGATGAGAAAGGGGGCTGAGGGCAGCACACTGGGGAGAGCTGGGAAGAGGCAGTGCTGCTGATAACTTTTGTCCTCTCTACTTTGAGCTGTCTTCTGTGGTACCACTGCTGGGGAGAAGAAATGGAGCCAGGCCTGGCCGGGCTCTTCCCCTACAACTCCCAGCCACTCTCTGAGGGAGGAATTTATTTCCTTACTTATAGCTATGCACCTTTGCACTGTCCTAAACATTTTAGGGCCTGGCAACAAAACATTCACTTACTTTTTAATTCTTTCTCCAAATGAGGCTATTTCTTCTAAGATGTTTTGAACAGTTATAACAATATCCTGCACCATGTGGATTCTTTCAATTAATCCCTTTTTCTCAGATTCCTGAAAAGTAAACCAAATTTTAATTTATTTTGCATTTCCTAATGTGTTCATAGACAAAATAGGTATATAATAGATTTTCATATCCACACATGTGGATGTTCAGCTGGGAGCAGGAGAGAATACACACAGTAGTTTAAATGTATATACAATACATTTATAATATACTACATTACTTTGTGTATCTCCCCCCTCCACTCTACCCCTTCAGGTGAGCACAGGTCCTTTTCCAACAGTGATCATCTACCCCACAGAGGCCTGACAGGTAAATGCATCTCATCCCAGACCTGCAATTCTTGCTTGATGTTGACCTGCACTAGACTTTGCATTGAGAACCTGATTAGGAGATGTGCTGAGGATCTGCAGGTGCTCAGAATCTTGCAGGATCAAGCCCACTCAGAAGCAATTACTGCTAAATATACAAATTCTGCTAAATTGGGCGATGGTTTTCTGATGCAAACACAATATACCACACAAATGAGTTCCCACATTCCTTGCATGAAACTGTTCATCTAATTCCCTGCTCAAGACAGGATTCACAAGCTTCATAGCCTTATCCTTATCGACAGCCATTACATTACTCTATACACAAGTATGTGTCAAGTGACCAAATGTAAAATAAAATTATTTCCAATCTCTTGGGTTGGTCTCTCCCAGCACCCAATATGCCTCCACCATTCTCGCTCAGTAAGTGTTAATAACCCAGTCTTGCTACAAAACAATATCAGACTTACAGGTCAATCTTTGAGTGTGTCATATGTTAACCTAATCATTTCTACTGAACTTTAGAACCAGGTGAGAGCTGTCCTAGAGATCTGATTTTCCTCTCTGATATTCTTTCCCCTTTTATCATGTAATGTCCAAATTTCTTTGTGATCATGGTATTGCTAGTCCAATCAAACACTCTAATATGCTCTACTTCCCACCATATCATTTCTATACACCTGTCTGTTCAAGACACAGTTGAGTCTTTTTGCCCAATCTGTTTTCAGCAACACTTGTTATACGTGCCCTGTACAGACTCATATATAACCACTGTCTTTGCTTCACAAGTATTTCCATGCAAAGCCAAAAGCATAGAGCATTTCCTCTGACTCAAATCACTAAACATTACAATTCCACAATAAACCCTAAAGATTCCAACCCTCTCCAAAACTATGAACTTTGCCATTTTCACTCAGAATTCTTCAGGGTTTGGATTTTTGCTTCTGGTGGCGAAATAAGCTTACTGCTTATTTTAGGCCACAGGATTACAGGAAACCAATGTGCAGCAATAAAATGAAAGCAAAGAATGCATTAAAATCAGCATGGTTTAAATCAGCCATGGAAATCAGGGTACAATTATCAGTGTTAACATTACATTTCTTTGCACGCAAGTTAGTATGGCTACAAACATTCTAACTAGAAGTGTGCAAAACATTCATTCTGTACAAAATTCAAACACCTGGATATAGAGGTTTTTACGTTGCATTTTGATTGTCCAAGAATAGTCCGATAGAATTTGAGGGGGCTGGTGGAAATATGTTTTAACCAATTAAAGCCCAGACTGGGAGGAGCCTGTAGGAGTGGTGCTACCAGCCCCTTGCATGCTCACCTATTTCCCCAGTTACTAGGGCCAGATGAAGGTAATCTAGGGCACCACACATACTCACACTTGGAACATCCCTGTATTTCTGCCTCTGCACATCACCCTACCATCCTCTGCCATGTCCTTGCCCCCACTTAGAACAGATTGATAGGGTCTACAGCCATCAGATGGAATGGTGGAAGGTTCATCACTATTTCCCTTTCAGCACTAGGTCACTTGGAGAGGAGTTTGTGTGTACCTGACACAGACTCCCTATCCTCAGCTCCTGCTAGAGTGATGGGATGCCAATCAACAACCTCTGAGACAACAGCCACATGTCTTCCTCCCCCTCTCCTCCAAAATATATTTTTAAATAACACATAGTCCTTTTTTTTCTCTCAAAGTAAATTTTAAACAAAAATTCATGATGTGATCAAATTTAAATATTTGGATATTCCTTTTACATATACGTCACTGTGCTATGAAAAGAAGTGGAATTTTAAATATCACATTTGAGTATGAAAAAGTACTTTCACAGAATTTTTTAAATGTGAAATGACCCAGAACAAAATAACCGTTTAATGACAAAACAGAAAAAAAAACCCAGTCATTTTCACACAGGTCCAGTTATAACCTTGTTAGGGTCAGAATTAAATGATGTCATGGTTATTTTAAACTATTTCTACGCTGCTGTTATGCACCTTACATACAAGTGGAACACAGAGCAAAAACTGGAGAGCCAACCCAGTAATTATCTAGTTCTGTCCAACTTGTAGTTGGAGGGAAGGCAAGAAATTTCCAAAAGTGATCTTCCAGGGCAAGCCTACTCTTGCTGCCCAGAGTTGTACGAAGATAATCTGGCAGCACTATCTGCATCATGCTGACTTTATTTACACATCTCCGATTGAGCTACGAAATGCGGTGATAACACAGTTTAACACACGCAACATTACTTCTGCTGCAGCTACCAAGCTGCCTCAGAAAAACAAAACAGTGATTCATTCTGAAGGATATAATAGCAATCATATGCGTTTCCTTACCTAGCATACACACATGCACACACACAAAGTCACTGCTAGATAGTGGCATTTCCAATTTGTAATATAAAACATACAGGACAGAAAAGTGCGTGTGTGTGTGTGTGTAGTCTACAGAAATAATAACAAGTGCTGTCACTGAAATCAGATTCTGATTAGCGAGTAATCTGGGTTGCTCTTGTGATGTACTTACACACTAATGTTTTTTTGCAAGAATCATTTGAAAATTCCAGGATTTTTTTCTATGCCTCATTCTGTGTTACGTACTTGGGGAGCGAGGGGGGGAGTGGCAATTAGTACCAGGACCCTAACTCCAGACACACAAAGCATAACTCATTAAGTGACACAAAAGAAGATAAACGATGCACAATAAAGGCCTGATTTTCCAACGTTCTTTGACCCCTTGTGAGGTTCTGAGCAGCCTCAGCTCCTATTGAAGTTTGCACCCCACAGTATACTGGACCCAAGAAATGATGCAAGACCGAACGTTCTAAAGTCATGAAGATAGAGTCACTGCTCTTTGTTATATAGAAATAAATACAGGCAATCATCATGTAAAAAGCTTTGTTTGAGCATCAATAAATGTACTACATTTGAGTCCGATGTAGAATGAATTCAAAGGAGGATTTCACTTCCGTACTCTTTCCAAAGTACACAAGGCTGAAGATTCCACAGCATTACACTCCTTTTGATATTATTGTACCATGACTTTTTGTGGCCGGAGGTGTCTCAAGTCAATGTGTAATTGGCCCAGTAAAAAAGAAAAAAGTCTGGACACCCACGGTTTAAAACCTTAGCTCATAACGTCTTTGTTTAAGTTTAAATTTAAAATAAACGATCCTGCCTGTTTCCAGCAAATCATTTTTTCTTCAAATGAACAGTGAAATCCCCATTTCTTCAAGGCCTTTTTCTTCCCTATTTCTCAGCTGATCACAGCACTGTAGGTAGAATCAAACTAGTTTCAGCCTCTGGGAAAGCATTAACACCATCAAAATAAATGTACAACTGCGAATTAATTATATAATCAGTATGTTACTTTAAATCTTCCATGCGTATCCTGATTTAAGAAAACCTTCATTTCTATACTAATTGCATGAACAAAAACACAAAGGGGTCTTACAAAAGATTAACCATGTCAGGAAAAAAAAAAAAGTTCAGCGAATTCAGAAATTAAGTCTTTTGTGTCCAACTAACACACATCAGCCTGAACTTAAAAAGCAAGATACAAAGCCTTTGCCTATGTAAGGAAAGGTGTTTCCACCTTTCACTCTTTATTAGAGTTATGACCAGTGGTGAGCTGGAGCTGGTTCGCTGGAACCGGTTGTTAAATTTAGAAGCCCTTTTAGAACCGATAGTCCCGCGAGGGACAACCGGTTCTAAAAGGGCTTCTAAATTTAACAATGGTCAAAAGTGGCACCTTAGGCACCGACTCCATGGGTGCTCCGGGGCTGGAGCATCCACAGGGAAAATTTGGTAGGTAAAGAGCACCCGCCGGCAGCTCCTCACCCCAGCTCACCTCCACTCCGCCTCCTCCCCTTAATGCGCCGCCCTGCTCTGCTTCTCCGCCCCCCACCCCCGCTTCCCGTGAATCAGCTGTTTGCACAGGAAGCCAGGGAGGGCTGAGAAGCAGGTGGCGGCTTCACGCTCAGGCCCAGGGAGGCAGAGGTGGAGAGGAGGGGAACTGGGGCAGGGGGGAAGCGCGAGGAGGGCTGCCTGCGCTGCAGCAGGTAACCCGGGGGAGGAGGGGGAGTGCGCAGGGGAACCGCTCCCCGCCCCAGCTCGCCTCCGCCACCCTCGGCCTGAGTGTGAAGCCGCCGCCTGCTTCTCAGCCCTCCCCAGCTTCCCGCCGAACAGCTGATTTGCAGGAAGCGGGGCAGAGAAGCAGAGTGGGGCGGCGCATTCAGGGGCAGAGGCGGAGCAGAGGTGAGGTGAGCTGGGGCCAGACGTGGGGCAGGGCGGGGAGCTGCCGGTGGGTGCTGTGCACCCACCAAATTTTCCCTGTTGGTGCTCCAGCCCCGGAGCACCCACGGAGTTGATGCCTAAGGCACCACTTTTGATGTGATCAGTGGCTCCCCCCCCCCAGCTATGCTACCCCGTCCCTAGGAGCCAGAGAGACCTGCCGGCTGCTTCCTGGGAGCTGCCCCAGGTAAGCATTGCCAGGACTCCCCACCTTGCCCCCCAACAGGTCCCTCTGGCTCTTAGGGGCTGGGCGGCGTGGGCACCCACTACGGTGGCCCACAAGACCCTCCTGCCCGGTTCTGGGGGCAGTCAGGGGAAAGGGGAGGGGGGTGGATGGGGCAGCGGTCCTGGGGGGGGCGACGCATCAAGGACCATGGGGGGTTGGATGGGGAAGGAGTCCCCGGGGCGTGGGGGACACAACCCCTCATGGGGTGAGGAGG